TGTAGAACCTCAATAAACACAAAGCTGAAGGACAAGTATGGTATTGCTGTGTTTTCTATAAAATATAAAAGGTTCTGAACAGAGTTCATAGTCACATAACCCAGTGTGTGAATTACACAGAACACAATGAAAAGGTTTGCAGTTCAGGGCATTGAAACTGTACACACAGATCATTGAAAAGTGCCAATAAGTACCAAATCAAGCACAGTTGTGTGGTTCTGAGACTTCAACATAAACCCACAACTTTTCAAGTATCACTCCACGCACATCCATTTATAGTCAACACACAGTAAAAACATTTGGAACGTATAAAACCCTGTTTACAATACAATGTCAGTACTAGATTCAGTATCGATTTAATACTGAAGTCTCATTCACATCCCATTCACAATTCCATAACACTCTGCATATAAAAAAAATGAGATGATGGTAGAAAGAGAAGAATAATTCAGAACAGAACAACAGAAAACAAATAGCCAAAAAACTCCACATAAACAACAGCCTAGTTTACCAGTTCATATTTTAATAATATTCTCTCTCTCTCTCTGTGTGTGTGTGTGTGTGTGTACATATGACAACCAGTAGCTGATGCCAAAAGATTTTCTGTCTTTCCATCTGGTGGCTGCTTAATTATTAGTTATATTTTCATATGTGATTTGTTCAAGTTACCCACATTTTTGTTTACAAAGAAGAAATTCCTGATACTATTTTCTGTGGATACAATTAATTTGAAGAGCACATTATTTGCAAGGCAGCTGCACTACAGTATAGCACATTTGGTGATTTGCAGTTGAAAAGCCATTCAGCTGGTGAGAGCTAGTAACCATGTCAGTTATATAATTCTATTCAATAATAGGAAGCACAACGAAGCTTTATTATTTAATCACTTTAAAATACAATTCTTAAATATTGTAAATGTAGCTGGCTGTTTCAATAAACAGTATTCTACATGATTATGATTAACTAATTCTGGGCAGAACATAGTTGCACTAGTCATTATAAAGTGTAATTAAGAGAATCTGTGAGAGCTAGTTCTGGCAAGGACAACAGCAATCAATCTAAGACAGGGATCCCCAACCTGTGGGCCGTGGCCCACTAATGGGCCATGAGCTGTTTGCAACCGGGCTGTGGAAACACCAGGCAAGCATGCGTACAAATGGAGCTGCGTGTGTCTATGCACACTTGCTGGCTGCTCATACGGGGTCATCCCCTCAATCCCCTTGCTGGTCCACAAAGCCGGAATGGTTTAGGAACTCTGATCTAAGAACAAAGAATAAAATAAAAACAGAATAAAGCTTGTTTGGAACTATTCACAAATTGTTCTGGTTACTTTTCCCTGACATCTATCAACAGTAAAGGAACAAGCAGTAAAAAAATATGCTACCGACTAACACTTGGCTAGAGCAACCATGAAGGTCTTGAAAAAAAAATATTCAAATGTCATAATATATTTATAAAGTTCAGAATCATACAAGCATGGCATTCCCTATGGCAATCTATGGGAAAAGTTAGTCCCTAAAGAAGCAGGATAAAAGAGTACTGATTTCTTTAACTTTTGATATTGGAAAAGACTTCCCACTATACCATGGACAGCCAAGAAAACAAACTGATGGATAACTGAAAAAATGAACCCAGAGTTCTCACTTGAAGCATAAATGACCAAACTCAAATTATCTTACTTCAGATACATTATGCAAATATTCTGCATAATCAGGGGGGAAAATCTAATGCTTGGAAAAGTGGGAGGAAAGTGGGAGGAAAGAAAAAAAAAAGACAACTAGCAGCAAGATGAATGGTTGATGAGTGTATCATTAGAAGAGTTGAAAAAATAATTTAAGAATACACCATCATGGAAACATCTAACTACATCTATGTAGGTTGCTAGTTTAAAGTGATTTGATGCACATAATCTTTTTTCATCATACTTTGGTTGAAAAAAATCCTCATATTGTTTTAACAACTGCCCAACACAAAGTGGAGCTTATTTTAAAAGTTTGTCTACTTTAATGATGGACAGTTAGTAGCACCTGTGCTCAAAATATTTCATTCTAAACTAGTAATTCAGATTTACATGGGGCTGATATCTGGAGCAGGTGAGTAATCAAATATCCCTGCAGGTATATCCCTTGCAAACTCCCTTCTGACTAATTTTAGCTTTTAATGTCTTATAGTTTATCTCCACTTTTAATGCATATTTAAATGGGAAATTTACATGCTGGGAAGTATTGCATAAAGCTCCAAAACAATCTTTACTTCTAATCATGCTATTAGATTCCAGATAGCCCAGGCGGTGATACTCTATAAAGGATTATGCTGGGCTTCTTAGCTACCAACTCAACTTCTCAACTTTTCTGAAGCCCATTAGGGATATGGAAGCTCTTTTCAGCTGTATATTTGTGACTTTTGTTGAAGGGGTAGGGTGGAGTGAGAGTATTCCAGTCCAATTTACAATCTTTCTCTTTTGTCTTTTTTATTATCTTTTGGCATTATACACTGGTTTTAAGCTAGAAACGGGAGCAAAAGATTTCTGATAAACCATACCCCCGTTACAATCTTAAAACTAACTCATCTCAAAGTAGGCTGAAACTACACATTCAAAATTCAGTCACTATCACCCTATGAAGTCAGTGTTACAATCATTTGTTGCTTTCCTTTGACATGACTCCTAGATCTTAATTTTTAATTAATTTTCTTAATTTTTTTTTAAAGGATGTCTGGATGCAGAGTTGTATGTTGTTTACAAAGATGGCAATGAAGGGATGGAGAGGTTGATTAGAAGAAATATTAAACATAACCTAACAAATAAGTGCATCAGGACTATTTCACTACTGCTCTGACTGGCACTGGTTCTCTAGGACATTAAGGGGAGATATTTCACATTTTCCTCTAACTGTGATCAACTTGGAATTTTCACCATACAATATATACATACGCTGTTTCATAGATACTGAACTCCTTTCCTTCTTCTTATTTAGTAACACATTTCTAGAACTGGCTGATCTCTAGGGAAAACTGCAGTCACAACCATTAACTAAGTGCGTGACACTAATTTCACATTTATGAAGATGTAATATAATGAAATTCTCCCAGTTAGTTTTTTGAACTATCAGTAAGCATTAATCTAAAAAAGTACCATGTTTCCCCGAAAATAAGACCTGTCTTATATTTTTTTGAACCCTGAAATAAGCGCTTGGCCTTATTGCCATGTGCTCAAAAGCCCAATTGGGCTTTATTATCAGGGGATGTCTTATTTTGGGGGAAAGAGGGTATAATACGTTAATGATCCATCTTCAATCGCAGTGAGAAAAATCTTAAAGAAAAAGCATTCTTTCCTAAGGTAACCCTTTAATTTAAGAAATATAGATGTAACCAACTTTTCCACAAAGAAAAAAAAAACCCTGAAGTACATTTCACCTGTATATTCATATAATATTTTTAGGCCATTTCAGTCAAAAGCAACTAAATTTTGGACCCTGTAGTTAAAGTTATGAAGCTATTTGTAATTTCATAACATTTCTAGCATGCATGCATCCACTCATATATCCATAAGAACATGCATCACTAAAGGAAGGAGGGGAAAGGTTAGCAAAAGACAACATACCAAGGACTGCTTCTAGTGCATGTGTTAGCACTTATCTATACTGCAACACATTATTAATATGCATTGTAGATTATTATAAAAGATTAATGTTTTCAAGGACAATGCAACAACAACAAAAAAAAAAGCCAAGAGAACCCTCAATGAGAACCAATTATGTGTGAATGGTATGGACCAACTCCCATCAGATGTGAGAACATAAGGTGAGTTTACATAAGAGTCTTCAAGAATTCTTTTAATAATATTGCATTAAAGTCAGTCTCTGGATAATGAGGTCCACCACACTGGTTTGGCTAGTTCTGTTTCAATAAAAACCTTTTAATTCAATTAATATGATCTGTGTGTGGTTTAGATCTTGTCAAAGATATCACAGTTACCTGTAAAGACTTTTTCCAAACTTGCCACTTATAAAAGGCTGCTGTAGGCATTTCTCTAACAAGCATATACATGTCAAGTGACTGTCATTATCAACATCATGCCTAAACAAATGCATTTCTCAACATGATATTAAAGAGGAAAAAATGAACAGGTTGGACACACCTGTTCCTCAAAAACAATCTTCCCAAGGAACATCATACAAATCTCCACGAGCTATGCATAAAAATTCCATACTAATACTACCAAGACAAGAATTCTTATCTCTGGGGATAAACATTTATCCTGATATATAAATTACATTTCTATTTTTGTTATCCATGTCTCCCTAAACCCACACATTTTTAAAAAGTATTCCTGGAAACTGAAGTTTTAAACTGAGCACTGGTTAATTTATAAATTCATAAGCAAATTGAACTATATACAGAGCCAATGCACAGCCTGCAAAATATATGTGATTTGTACTATCTTTATACTACAGTAAGTGCAAAACATTTCTCCTGGTTTTGCTAAAGAGATTGATTAGTGCATTAAAGCAAACAAGACATGTCAATCTCTTTATGTAGGTGATCCATATTTAAATAAGCACAGAGTGAATTCCTTTTTCAACTATGGATTCAATATGTCCTGAAAATGTACACAATTCCTTCAGCAACAAGTTGGTGCAAAAGAAAATTTATCAAGCTAAATTGCTTAGTTATCCCAACAGCATAATTTTTTGAAAAGTGAATCAAACACATCAAATGCATGAATCAAGTTCAATCTATCTCTATCTGTCTTTCTATCTCGCTATCTTCTCTTATCCTGATAAGGCTATACCATATGGAACCCAGATCTCCATTTTTAAACAACAGCATTTTCTTTCTGCACAGTCTGACTGGATTCTAATAGTCTAGTGACAGAACAACTCATATGCTCTCGTCAGTCTAGCAAAACTTTCCTAATCAGCTTCCTGCTTGAAAAACAACGTCCTGGATACAATACAAATAATATGCCAGATCGCATAGCAGAGCTGTTCAGGACAGACCTTGGCTGCTTGCAGAACTGTGGTGTATTTGTAACGCCATTTGTTTTCTCCAGCTGCAATATTTCCCCAACATAAAAAAGCTTCTCCAAGCTTTTCCAAAAAATTTTCTCCAAGTGCAGAAAGGAACAACTAGTCCCTTGAAGTGGCTGTTCTCCTTCTGGCTCTTCTCTCTCAACCACTTGGCGAATGTTCAGAACAAGGGAGGAGTGGCCATGTCAAGCAGGGTGTGCTGCTGCTCCCATATACTGCAATGCTAAAAGAATAGAAAGCATTTTACTCTTTACAAATCTTACCTTAGTCATCCTGGATTCTGACTCAGAGCACCTGTAGAAGGAGGGAACTTTTTGCAGGTTGCAACATAAGCACTAAAAAAGCCAGTATTATTGATCCTGGACTTCTTTAAGCAATGGTAAGGGGATTTGTAAAGGATAGATAGATCAGGCAAGTTTGGCAGAAAATCACCTGAGACCTAATTACAATAACAATTCACAAGGGTCAACATTGCTTGCCACCCAGAAGTGGGATTCTCTTAGTCCACTGCAAAACGCACACAAGAGAAAGAAATTTAAGATTGTAAGGCTTGCATCTTAAACTCTTTGCTAAATTTCTTCATTAACAGTGCTTCTTGCAATAAAATTAGCTTATGAACAACTATCTCCTTGAATCACTATTTGTGAAGCTTTTTTGATGATCCATTGGTATTCTCAGGAAAATCACTGAATCAGCCAAACAACAATCAAATATTTGAAACATAATCTTGTGCTTGAATTAAAAAAAAAACATGCTTACATCTATATTTCTACCTTTCATACCATCAGTTATTGTTATGCACACAAGGAAAAAGAAAAAAATGAACAAGCAGCAAGGCGGATGGACTCAATTACAGTAGTGATTGGTGTATCACTGGAGGTCCTGGATAATGAGGTTAGTGACAGATCATCATGAAGAAAATGCATCTATTTGGTCCCTAAAAGTTGATGCTAATCTAATGGCACATAATCAATCAATTAATCTCCACAGACAAAAGCACTCATCGTGGCACAGTACAAAAAGAACTCTGCGCAGTGTAGCCAAGCAACAGGCAAAACATGCTTTGCAAGGAGAAGACCCCAGCTTCAATTCCTAACATCTCCAAGCAGAACTAGAAAAACTTCTCTGAAATTGCCAGTGCATTGATAATATTATGCCAGACTAGCTCCAGTTTCACTTACAAGACAGTTTTCTACATTTTTATTTTCATTTCCCAAGTGTCAATGCCAACATATGATTTAGGATAAACTGTTTACTGTAGGATTTTATTTCTTAAATAAGAAGTGCCAAAATTTGACTGGAATCAATGCTTTGAATCTGAATATTAAGAATTTTTGCTTAATATAAGTTACATGGGTAGGAACATAGCACATCTCTATGATTTATTAAAGATGCGGGTGAAAATGGGAGCCAGTTGGTCAGCATAGGCCTTTAAGCAGGTTATCTTGTCTGGGCCTGGGGCTTTCCTGGCTTTTATCTGTGAAATAGATCTTGTACCTCATTTTCTGTATTATATAGCCACCCAATTATATAGCCACCCAACTCAACTAAGTGGGCAGCTTACAATTCCAAATATTAAGTGCCCAAGTCAAGCATATTAGACTTCATGACAAATTAGACAAGAGCTTAAGTTTGTAAGAAACTCACTTCTACCTCTGTTCCCAGTTGCAGTGTACTACTGCTTAGAAATCATCACCAGGAAACTTGAACTATTTAAATCAGTTCTACTAGCCAAGGATGGGCAACTCATGGGTCACAGACCACACATAGCTGCAAACATCTTTTTTATTCAGTCCCCAGAATTTACTCAGTGATGCTGAACATACAAATATAAATGAAACATACTGTAACATTGATTGTAATACTTCTATTTTACTTAAAGAATCACAAAATATGTGTTTGTGTTTGTGTTTGTACATGTGTAGGTGCGTGTAATTCTGATTTTAACTTAAGGCCATTTTCCCCTACTTTTTTAATACAACAGAAAGACTTTGGCCATTCTTTCCTAGTCATGTTCCATATGTACATACTAGTTCCAGTGGATGTTAAGTTTCTTTCTTACCAGCTTCAAATCTTATACCTGCCAAGATTGTGATTGAGTCTTCCAGCTCTCAGAAATTTTTTTTTAAAAAAGCCATTTTGTTAAAATGTGCAAAGTATGTTTTCAAAACTCCAAATGTGGTGTGAGCCACAACATTTTGGCCCCGTTATCTAGATAGATGTCCTGGCTTGAACACTGGCCGTTACATTTCCTTACTTCACTTTAAGGATTCAATGCAGTGATCCTGGTACTTCTGGTTACATGGTACTTGTACAGATTCACAGACATGACATTGGAGGAAGAATATGCCAGTTAACAAAACATGAATGAAGTTTGGAAAAAAAGAAGACATTGAAAAGAAACTTAAAATGACTCTTTTGAGTGTAAGAGGGAATTAAGGGAAACACTAAATTCTGTTACTAGAACTGTATCAATAAAGTTGAGTACTTGAATTCAAGTATTTCTTGTGGAGTGCCTTTCTGATCTGTTGTAAATCGAAGGATTGACTCTTATCAAAGTCTAATCACATACAATACATTTCATTTAAAAAGAAAGAAAAAAAGAAAGAAATGATTTCTTACACATGACATATTGTACCTAAAACTTTAAGGCCAACCTGCTGTTCCTTTAATAACAACACACTACCGTTTATTAAGTTTTTATTTAGTTATAGTATGTAGGACAGAGGAGTAATACAATCTTTATTGGGAACACAGTACATAGAGAGAAAAAAGATAAGGGACATGAAAAAAACTACCAACAACTTTCTTCTTTACATATAATCAATTGTAACTGGGGAGCAACTATAGAAGTTGGACCTAGACATAAGGTACAAGTTAAATAATTATTTTGGTAAAATTAATTTTACAACATTGTCTTCTGGGAAATTTAAGTAGGTTCTAATTACTTTTAAATTTGTATCTATCTAGAATCTTTTAATTATCTAGTTACACTCTTGAGGATATGTACAAAAAAATGCTGGCTTAACAACGACTCCGAAGAAGAAAATAGATCAAACTGGTGCATCACTTCTACATTCCAATTAAAAGTTAAAAGGCAGAACAAACAAGGGTTTTGCACCACGAGGAAAGCAAAAGTTGATGGTAAAACAATTTATCCAAAATACTAAAGAAAAAAGAACTTAATTCTTGCAACAATATATAATTTGTTGGATTGAAAATTAAGTGCTAAATATGAACCACAGTAAAATAGGACTTAAAAACTATGGACAGGGAAGAGGAAAATAACTTTTGACATAAGCTGTTTGTTCCACTTGGTTTCCAAATCTTTACAACTTTATCTAGTATGCACACTGTGTGCAAATACTCTCCCCAATTAGGCTTTTTTGTACACTAATTTCTTTATCCATTAGCTTTCATGCAGAATTCGATCTCGCAATATTATCCTGGGACACGTATATTTGCCTTCATTCATAAGTGTGTATATTCTCAGATATTATTTAGCTCCACAATATTATCAAGCTCAACCATGATGATGGATACCATTTGACCCTTGCTACAAATAGCTTCAAACAAAATCATATTAATAACAAGCTTGGATTCCCCCTGTTCCAGTGAAAGAGGCAATGCCTAATTACATCTCAAAAGTGTGCTTGACTATACAATAATAACTTACAATATTCTCTCCAAAACAGCACATATCCACATACCATGTATTGGAAAGAATAAAGTGAGTTACAATTTTCTCTCCATTATACAAGATCATGATGTGTAATGTTTGTGCTAAATTTAAAAGTAATACTTGGTCTAATTAACACTGAACACATTTCGTGATTAAGAGGGCACACTGACCCAAGGAAGGCATTGAAATTTTTCACTTCTTATTTAAGAAACAGTTAGAATGCTACAATAAACTACAGGGAAATAAAGAAGCATAGCTAAGTACTAAATATAAAGAAAGGAGTAGTAAAGAATGAAAAGAGATACAGAATACAGGTAGTCCTTGACTTAGAACAGTTCATTTAATGACTGTTCAAAGTTAAAATGGCACTGAAAAGAGTGACTATGGCCATTTTTCACATCTACAATATGTCTGTTGCAACATCCACACGTAATATGAAGAAAATTCAGGCACTTGGCAACTGACTTATATTTAAGATGGTTGCAGTGTCCTGGCATCATGTGATCCCCTTTTGCAATCTTCTGACAAGAAAGTCAATGGGGAAGCCAGATTCACTTAACAGCTGTGTTACTAACTTATCAACTGCAGTGACAAGAAAGTTCATAAAATGGGGCAAAACTAACTTTAAAAATGTCTCACTTAGCAACAAAAATTTTGGGCTCAGTTGTGGTCGTAGGTTGAGGGTTACCCTGTAAAATGTAAAACTTATCTTTAGTTAGGTAAGAATACAGCCTTGTATGAATATTGAATAAAATCCAAGCAGAGCAAGAAGCCAAGGTTAAAATACAAGAAGAATTCAAAATATGATTTTATAAACTAAAAAAAGGAATGTCATGGTTCTCAAGCACAACCAGGATATGTTCACAGTATGAGCCTTCACCACAAAAACATTTATCACAAATGGTAAACCTTAAACATTAGGCCCATGGATTGCAAAAACCACAAGAAATAAAGGAAAACAAAATTTTCATAAATCCCTAGATCCAAATTAAAAGTACCAAGCCAGAAAAGACAAAGTGGACCTAAGCTTAACCACAAAACCCTCAAAAGTTACTAAAATGAATAAAAATCAACTGCTTTAATTAAAGAAAAGAACATATCCAACTTTGTTTCTTCTTGGAAACAATTTCTGCTTGAAACGGAAAAAAACAAACAATGATTTTGGGTTTTGCTGATTAGGTAAGTTTGTTGTTACAGAAATGACTAGTACATATTAAGTATCTAAAAGTAAAAAGTTGTGGCTGTAATGTTATTACCTTATTCTATTATGCTAAGAGTCAGAAGTCAATGTTCTTCTTTCTTTTTTCCTCTTTACCCTAAACTTTTCTTTCTCCCCTTTTCCCACCATTTTTATTTTCATTTTCATTTTATATTTCAATCAGTTTAATAAAAAATAATTGATAATAATTGATTGGGATATGGGGGCAAATGATGGAGACAACCCTGAACAAAAGCAGAACTGAGCAATGTAACAAAGACAGACAGCATAAAGCTGAGAATCGCCTGCTTTTGGTATCCAGGATAATTCTGTCAACAGCACTCTAAGGTGGTGTGTCATCATCATCTTGGACAGAAATCAAAATAAGGATATGTAAGGAAAGAGTGTTCTCTCATAAAATACTGTTTCAAAATGTTATAGGAAATGGTTCTTGATTTTTAGCTAAGATTTTGGAACACAGTTTCTTAAACAGTGGACAGATGACTGCACATTATTTATAGTACATTAAATAAATCTACTTTATAGATTCATTATCTGATCAAGTATACTGAATATAAGATAATCTCAGATGTAGGGTAGCATAATATTAACTAAAGCATAATAGTAGCTCAAATTTCATATTAACAGCCTGATAAGTATGCATTGGTACCAAAGGGGAGGGGCCAGAAAGAATGTTTGCTACCTAAGAAAAGATTAGGTAGGTTAGCATTCATTGTATTTCTAAATGTAATTGATGTAAATGTTCTTAGGATCACAGACTGGATCAAAGAACAGATACAGGTAGTTCTTAATTAATGAGTATTTGTTCAGAGTTACAAGGGCATTGAACAAATAATATTTGTGATCAAATATTATGTAACTTCAAAGTTATGGCTTTAATCACGATTGCATTTACCAATGATGTGCTTCCATGTCCACCCCTACCCCCCTACCCCCTGGCTATCTCCTCCCTATCTCTCTTTCAGCCATTGTGCCCACTGCTGCCCTGCTGTCTTCTATCTCCCACTGCTGACAAGGCATGCCCAGCTTTCACAAGGCAGCTGCTGGCCACATGACATCTTAATGAGGGCACAAAACCTGGCAAAGCACCAAGCCAGGCATTCCTAAGGAGCAGCAGGAAGAGGAAGAAAATGGAGGACAGATGGA